GGCCTGTTGAACTTCCCGCCCTTCTCAGAGGGCGGGGGCGGACGAAAAAGCCGCTTGTGAGCGGAAAAGGAAGGACCCGGCTTCCGCCGCAGTTCCCTAGGCTTTTTCGACTGAGGCAGGAAGGTACTCTTACCGCCCGTCAGATCCTTAATGATCTCATCCAAGGTAGTCCCGAACAGACGCTCCCCCGTAAAGGGGAGCTCCGTCAGAGCCTTCTTGGAAGCCTGGTCAGCCGACCAGCATTTAAGCCAGAGGAGGCGCCGAATAGTAACTGCCGACACGGATAGCTTGGAAACCAAAGGTGCCGCATCCAAGGCCGCATTACATAGGTATTGCAGACCCTGCACCACTTGCTCCGTCAGATCGACATAAGCAGGAGACACGTTTTCTTCTGCAAGACCCTGACGCAGCATCTTCATCCACTCAGTCAGGGACTGAGAGACCAGGGCCGAAGCCAACACAGGGCGCAACAGAGCCCCGGAAACCGAGTACATTGTACGCGCCACCGCCTCCGCCTTCCTATCCGTGGGATCCCGAAAGGAAGGCGAATCCTCCACCGGGATGACAGTAGCCTTGTTCAGTCGGGAAATCGGCGGATCCACCGCGGGGGGAGTAGACCACTTAGACAGGAAGGACTCCTCAAAAGGATAACGAACCGAGAAGCGTTTGGGGACAGAAAAAGACCTGCTCGGACGCTTCCACTCCTTGTAGACAAAGTCATCAAAGAAGGGAACGTAAGGGAAAACCGTAGCGGAACGCCTACTCCTGTGCGTTCCAAAAGGAACCGGCGGGAGCGCCGAAGCGCTCGGAGCCTCCTCAATTTTAAGCATATCCCGCACAGCGCAAACTAAGGCTGCGACCAATTCGCGCTCCTGGACCATAAGGGCAGTCCCCGACGCGTCGTCACCACCAGACTCCGCCTGGGAGGAGTCCCCCAGGTCGGGCTGCGCAGCCGCATCAGAAATTTCCCCCCCTTCCTCAGAATCCCCAGAAAGGACCGGGGAGGGAGCCGGCAAAACGCGCTTCCGTGGAAGGCGATATTAATAATCCAAGGATATGTAATCCTGCTACATTACACCTACAATGGCAGCCGGCTCATGGATATCACCACTTGCATGTATGAATATCAAAGTTTATAACTTACAATCCTCAGGAAGTGCTGACAATGCATGCTTTCACATTTTCAGCCATTGTAGAAGGAAGCCACCACAGCAGTCTAAACTAGTTTGCTCTCTAATGAGCATTAATAGAGTGTATACATATATTTCACACGAGTTACTGATAGAGTCAGAAACATATTTAATGCCAATCAGGCTGTCTCTTAGCAAAGTTTGTGCATATACACAGGCAGCACAGTGGCTCAGTGGTTATCACTTCCACCTTGCAGCACTGGGGGGTCCCCGGTTCAGAAACTGGTCAGGTCACTATCTGCATGGAGTTTGCATGTTCTCCCTGTGCTTATATGGGTTTCCTCCATGTACTCCGGATTCCTCCCACATTCCAAAGACACGCTGGTAGGTTCATTGGCTCCTGTCTAAATCAGCCCTGTGTGCATATGAGATAGGGACCTTAGTAAGCGCCTTGAGGGCCGGGACTGATGTGAATGTGCACTACGTAAAGCGCTGCATAAATTTTTGGTGCTATATAAATACCTGTAATAAATAAATAAATACACCCTGCTACTGCAATCATTTGCAATCTCTGATATTGGTGCAGTGCTACTTTTGAGCAGCAGAGGGGAGGATTATAGTCAAGCTGTGATCATATAGTAAATATGTCTTATAACCTGTCCTATGGCTCCTGTTTGGCACTACTTTGCTATACGATAAACTGCAAACATTGAGCACTGTGTCTGTGCAGAGTAAGGCTGGCCATATGCTGTTTTTCTTTTCAAACTGCAGGCTGAAGGAAAACGTATAACAAATTCCTGTTATTCGCTGTTTAGCGTGGATGGACGAATCTCCTGCTGGGTATTGTATCCTGACAGCGGCAGGTGTCAGGATGAATACCTGAACAGTGACGGCAGCTGATTGGCAGTGACGTTCAATTTTCTGATCAAAGGATGTCGGGTGGAAGGCTGCCAACCGGGTCACCCGCTGAGTGAATTTTGGCAGGCTCATCAAGAACCAGAAAAAAAGTGCTCAGTGTGTGGCTAGTTTAAGACCAGCTGCTTGTGCTCATCTCAAACACTGGGACAGTGACATCATTAGTACCCACAGCCTGTATACAAACCAGCAGGACCCACAGAGCCAGCCCACTGTGAATGTGTATAAAAGTATGCTCACCTTTAAAGGGAACCTGTCAGAGAAATACAGAGTGCTGCCATTTTTGATAACCTTCTGCAAATAATTTGGTTTGAATGCTATCTCAGCCAATGAAGTGAAATAGGTGTGCAGATTAGGGGTTCTGATTACACTTGCCGCACACTTGTTTTGGGTCCATCAAAGAGCTGTAAAGCTAGAGACAGCTATCCAGGTAACATTTTTAGGGTGAGTTCAACAAAGGCAGTTCATATATATTTCTTAGTGGACGTTACCTTTAATCATTCTAAAACGCTATTGTAACAGGTGACTAAAGTCTGTCAATGCACTAACCTTGGCAATGTCCACCAGGGTTCCGCTCTTGACTTTGTCGATGGAAGCTTGGATGGCACGGACAACTATCATGTGCTCTTTGGCAAGGACCAGGTCATTGTTCTGCTTAGCTTGGAGTGCTGCTTTCCTATACTGTCTCCTACGGTTCTCCAGGAACTCCAGCTGTTCTTGTGCTGAAAGTCACATGATAAGACAAAAGTCAGAAAAGTCACCTTATGGGGGGCCATGAACAATGAAGAACTCCAGAGCTCCAGTATACGACTTGTATTAATACCTGCAGGGGGAAGGTCCCCGGCGAGTTCTGTGGTATCAGCAACTTTGGTTTTATGGGACGCCTCGTCTTGCAGGGGCAGGTTTGGCGACACCTGGGGTTTGACAATCTGGATGGGCTTTTGTGGGGCAGGTTTCTTTGCTGGCTGTTCACCCTAAAGGAAAGAACTAGTAAATTTGAGCTTTACATGCCGCATGTCCATTTTAAACTGTACAACTCGTCATGAATAATTTCCAATAGTACATTTAAGCTAGATATAAATCTGAATGACATAGAACTTGCTGCAGCACTGGTCACCACAAACTACAATTGTTTTGCATTGTTATCACTTTTTGTCCACCCTTTGTTGCATCTCAGTGCTGCTTGTCCCTGCAGCCTCTTCATGTCTAGATGCACTAGTGACAACAGTGGTCCATGCCTGCATAACGTGCATTGAAACAGCCACGGAAGTAGTCTCCATGAGAAGCCTGTGTCACAAAGTGACAACACAGGAGTACAACTGGGACACAGATCTTTGCTATGCTATAAAAGGAAGTGCCTGAACAAGCTTTACTTGTCCTCCCCATCCTTTGGGCCCTTTGAAAAGGTTGTTTCTATGTTTGTGCACTCTGGGCTGCAGCACACAGCATAGGAACCCCAATGTAGTTAATAGAAAATTACATTGCCCACAATGCTGTGGTTGCCTTGTGTGGACCGTAAGAGCACACTTCTGTTATCTCTGACTGGTCGATCTGTCTCTCAGGACAAGGTCTAAATAGCAGCTATCTGCTCGTTCTCATGAGAGGGACAGGGTTGGAAGAGAGTGGGCCCATCCATTTCTGTGAGGTTACAGTGGGAGTCTGGCTCCCCTAGCCAAGCCTGATCCCAGTACAATGTTGTGGGACATCAGGCATCAAGCTCGATTGATGATCTCTCCACAGAAACATTGAATTCTTACAAACCAGCTCCTTCATGTCATAGGACAAATAGCTGAATGCGTGGCATGGGTGAAATCTAAATTGGGGTTAACTTAAATAAGCAACTCACCCAGCTACACATTTCCTAGTAGAGTAAATAATCGATCAAAAGAGGCAAACACAACACATAAAAGTAACCAGGAAGCAAGTACTGCTAATTCACCATAAAAACAGTTGTCAAGGAACAAACAACAATGGATTCAGCAGCAAGTCAATTATAATAACATTTACAGAGGCAAACATAAAAGTGGCCTCACCCATGAACGCTCATACTGTACAAGCCTGTTTATCTGGTAAACATGCCACAATGACCAGATTACAGTGTTTAAAGAGAAAAAAAAAATGGTAAAAAAAAGATAAAAAGCACAGTTTAAAAATGTATTATATATATGCGCAGGTGGCCCAACTACAACCTTCATGCTCCTGCAGGAAAGCAGGGGGATAGCACAAATGGTTACAGCTGTGTACCTCTCTGTGCTTCACAAGGGACTATGGACTTGTAGGCAGTTGGCCTCTTGTGATGGGCCATACCAGTACAAACAACTGGAGTGGCTTATTTGTGCCTACTGCTATACTTATCAATATCAAAAGACGTGACCTGGGGGGTGCAAAACTGCTACCTTGCCTACGGCCTCATTCTCCATAAAGCAATCTCTGATGTTTACAGTTCTACTTGCCAAGCCAATCTTGTGATTTACAAGTCTGTCAGCCAGTTGACGCGCTTATTTCCTGGTTTAACAATGTACTATCTTATGTTACCGCTACGCCTCCAAACTGGTCACTGGTCAACAAATCAGCATCATCACTTTGTCCATCGCTCACTAGCAGAGGTGTGCGTGTCAGGAGACTGGCTGGGCTAAATTACAAATCCTTTAGCAGGTAAAGCAGTAAACTTATATGTATTTGAACTTTTTATTTGCCTGTTTGCCTTAAAATACAGTTTTATAGTACCGGATGAGAGAGGTTAAAAAAAAAAGACCTCTGTGGGCCAGATGGGAAAATTCCAGGGGTAACTAGTATGAACATTCAGAGTTTCAGTAATTAAGAGAATTGCCTACCTCTTCCTCTTCATCCTCAGCTCCATCGTCCTCGCCAGCTAGCGCCAACTTCTGAGCAGCTTCCAAAGCCTTCTCCACACTGCCCACATCTCCTTCGCTCTCCATGCCAGGGAACGGAGGAAACCCTATTAGAAAACAACATTCTGTAATACTTTCTATCTACACAGTATTAAGACACACAGTTTGTGTCCAAACATTTGTCCTGTCCACTAACAATTACTTTCATGTAGCTGAATGACTTTAACTGTTGGTTGAGATCATAAAATGGTTCCTACTTCATAAAGCCAAGAAGTACACTCTAAATAGTCTAAAGATCAGCTGAAGGATGGCATTAAGCAGGCGTCAGAAATATACTGTTTCCACTAAGCTGCAATTGTCTTTTGTACTTTTTGTCACACTGTCTCTTGGAAGAATTCCTAGGACCCATTTACATTCATAGGAATGCATGGCTCTACATGTGATGTGGTGCGTGAAGAGCCTGTAAAATCCAACCCTCAACAGTGATTCAATCAGCCAGCCCCTACAACACTACTGTATCTGGTACTAACGTAGCGGGAGAAACCAGTACAAGGCAGGGAACAAGGAAATCAACACTCCCAACAAAAGTAGCTTTAAGGAATTAAAAAAAAAAAATGAAATCAGAAGACATTTTAACTTGGGTAGATAAACTATTTAACAGAATGTAAACACATAAAATCTTATTTATTTAAGACATAAAAACCAGTAGTCCTGCTAACGCTTTTCAGCCAAAAGAGGCCATAACAAAGAAACTAAGATGAAGGCCTCTTTTAAATAAAAAGCATTAGCGGGACTGCAAAGTCTAGTTCTATGCCTTAAATAAAGAAGATTTTAAATGGCTCCGGAACATGTGTAAAACACTTTTTTCTACTGTTTATGATGAAGGGCTGGTTGAAGCCTTGGTTGTACACTGGTGTTCCATAGAACAGCATTGGAGGAGGGAGATACAGGACTTTGTTTGTCTCGTGAGCCTATTAAAACAGAATTTACATGTAGAACAGTAGAAGTAATATGTTACCTGGAGGAACTGGGAGCTCTGCCAGATTCACCGATCTGCCAGCTTTGGAGGCCCGTATGGCATCCTGATATTGCTGCAGATAAACAAATGGGTTTGGTTACATTTATTAAGGAGCCTAGACATATCAATGGACCATGTGATCTGCCGTTAGCCCGAAACTTAGTTTAGTTTTTTCCTTCATTAAAAAGGAAAGGTTTAATAAAAAGACAACCACTATTGCTTGCATACTCGCTATAAAAAGATAAAGGTTCAATAATAATTATCACCCTAAAACAGCAAAAAGGACTGCAAACATAGGAGAGCTGAGGACAAAGTTCAATACACACCCATCAGCAGGGAGGAAGCACCCCTAGGACAAAGGCCAAAGTGAAAATTTGCTGAAATGTCCTGCCTATCCTGGAACCTTGAAAAAGTCAGAGATGCTTCTGACTCCCCAGAGCCAACGATGCATCAGAGTCTGTGCAGCAACAATCAGAATGTTGAGCATGGTTCTCAACCTAGGTTAGACCGGAGCAAAGAAAATCCCCAGAAAGGCCTACCTCTTGAGATTGCGAAACAAGCAACGAGGAAAGACCTAGACCTGGTGTGCAGGTACCACAAAGTCTTCGGAGCATTCTCTGCTACTGCCAGAGGATTCCTGAATCAGTAAACTAGCTTGTTAAGCATGAAGATGGCATGATAATATAAAGCAGAGGGATAGCACTGGCAGCCTATATATTTCCGTCAGCACAGGATCATTTAATGTAAGTTGTATCCAGTCTCATACCTTGACAATCCTTTCATGCATTCTGGCCTTCCGGTCATCTCCATTGGCTTTGGCTTGCTGTGCTGCAGATTTGTAGCGATCCATTCTTTGCTGCAGAGCTTGCAGCACTGTAACAGCAGGAGCTCCTGGAATCAAACAAGGAAGAGATTTATGGCTTCAGAAGTTTATCAATGGACCCAGGAGATTAAAAAAAATAGCGAGACAGTTTATTATATTCTTTTCTTTTTTTTATATGAATAAAAAGGCAGTTTCTAATTGTTTATGATGGGCAACACATATATGGCCAACTTAAGTGTACTCTGGCTTTAGATTTCTCAACATCAGACGGATCTCTACAATCTGAGTGTTTAGAGATTTTTAAACCTGGCTTGTTAAATTGATTACAACCCTGCACTTACTGAATTGTGACATCAGCACTCACCTTGGGTGCTGGCAGGGCAGGGCTCTTGGGTTTCTGGTGTGGCCTGTTCTGAGGTTTGAACCTCTTGGTCTAGAAAAAAAAAAAGTTCTCCTTACATCCCATAAAGAATTGCATTCTTAGCATGTTTGCTGAAGTGCTTGTGCTTATACCTACCATTTGGAGGAGGAGGCATCTCACTAAGATCAACAGGCTGTCCGCTCTCTATAGCTTCTAGAACAGAGCTAAATTTCTGAAAAGTTTAAAAAAGGAAATGAAATAGAATCCACAAGTGTGGCAAAAAAGGATACACTCTTCATTTAGTAAATGTAATGGTATGCTTAATATCACTTTGATTCATTTAAACAACTAATCAAAGTAAAATTAAGCATGCCGTTACATTTACTATATATCAAAACTATATCCCTAAGTCTTCATTCACAGTGACATTTAAAAAAAAAATTACAATGTGGTAAATGGCACCCACCTTGCAAATCTTCATGTACTCTTTGGCCTTGTCAATGTCTCCTCTTTGCTTGGCTCTCAGAGCCGCCATCTTGTATTCATTCTGCCTTGTCAAGAGAAGAGTGTCCCTGTCTGCAGTTTTATTAGAGTGTGTCAGACTAACAATGATTTTTACAAAAAAAATTAACACAGATAAGCAACGGATTTCCATGTTGGATGTTCTGCAGAAAGATTCATTGAACAGACCAGCTGCTGAGCGATTCCCACAATGTCCTTTCTGATGGAGCCGCATTCTAATCCAAACAGAACACTGTGGTTTAATGGTGTCCCTGAATTAATTTAAAAATCGTGGAGGTGAAGAATAACTGCTAAGTTGTGCTTGGTGCAGAATGCAGTACAAAAGGCAGGAGCAGCAGACAGGAGAGTGTGGGATCAGAAATCAGTAAATCTCATCTCTGGAAAGCAGATGGTGTGAATGAGTCCTTACCTTCCCTAACTGTGCCAAATTCGCCTTCATTTTTACATCTCATGCTCTGCTTCCCAGGCACTATAGTCAGGTGCCGATTGACAAGCTGCAGGCTATGAATCAGAAGTGACAATGCTGATGGCCATCTTCTCATGTAACTGTAGTGTAAGCAGGCACAGCCTACATGAGATTGGCAGCTCAGCTCTGAATTCAGGAGCAGTGCAACATAATTAACACACCATCACAGGTAGCTGCTAACTCTTGAGTGTTGAGTGGACTTCACTGGCAGGATCAACATGTATTTGTGGGACTTTGCAGGGGGATTAAGAAAGAAATGCAAGTACAGATGCATTACACTCCTGGCCAAAAAACCTCACACTCTTAATATTTCTTTGGACCACCTTTAGCTTTTATTATGGCACGCATTCGCCACGCCATTGTTTCGATAAGCTTATGCAATGTTCCAACATTTATTTCCGTCCAGAGTTGAATTAAATTTTCACCAAGATCTTGTAGTGATGATGGGAAAGTCTTCTCCAGCACATCCCAAAGATTCTCAATGGGGTTAAGGTCTGGACTCTGGTGGCCAATCCATGTGTAAAAAAGATGCCTCATGCTCCCTGGACCACTCTTTCATAATTTGAGCCTGGTGAATACTGGCGTTGTCATTTTGAAAAATGCCCGTCACATCAAGGTCACTGATTTTATTCAGGTAGTCAGCTGACCTCATTTTTTGGGGACATAATGTTGCTGAACCTAGACCTGACCAACTGACCTGACCAACTGATGCAACCCCAGATCATAACACTTATCCAGTGAAAGACTTTTGCCTGTTTGCTTAGCTAAATCCAGGTGGTGACTTTTATATATTTTTTTGGCCAGGCAGTGTATAATAAGGTTCTGTAGCACTTTTTTGATGACAGGCCATAGATCTACTTTAAAAATGCAGACTGATTTATAGTACAGTAGTCACAGAGAAAAGTTAAGCAAATATACTATTTGCAGATTTCTTTAAATGTGTAAAATATACATTTTTTATATTTTTAGAGACATGTAAAAGATATCAGCTTAAAGTTGACCTCCTGGCAAACAGCTAATACACAGTTGAAATACATAAACGTGACCTTCCAAAGAATTTCTATTTCTGTCCATCCAGGCCTAAGACTTACACAGCCCTCCTAGACAGTGCAGCCAGGTTGCACCTGACTTTTCTCTGTGTAACAATTAAAAAAGCTAGGTCACCTCCCTGCCTCTAGCCAGTGACTAGACACTGAAGGCAGTGTAGCCCTCTGTGCATACTGTTCTTCCAGCACATTTGTAAGTAAGCACAGCCGATTGGCTCCTAGTACCCACTTTCATAAATAAGGACAGCTGTATTTTAGTGACATGGCTTGCAAATACCTCACCTGCTTCTTCTTGCATGACAGCTAGCTCCTCGCTGGCAGTAAATGGCACTTCTGCATCCACAGGCTGGCTTTGGCTGCTGACTGTTTCTGAAGGTTCGGGTAAAGTGGGAGCCAGGTCCGGTTCCTGTGCATTGATGGTGGGGGACGGAGCTTGTGGAGCTGATGCAGGTTTCCCAATGGCCACTGGTGGAGGAATCTCTTCCTCATTCACAGGCTTCCCTTGTTTAGCAGCTTTTAAAATAGATTCCAGTGTCTGTAAAAATAGAAGACACACATATCCAAAATGATAATAAAGTATCTAATATACAGTACACCGACACCATATTCCCACCTCGGTCTCTGTTTTATGTTCTTTAAATGCTCCGTAAAGTGAATACCATGAGATCAAGTGGTAAAAGCATTGTATTTAGCATTATATAGTGACTACAGTAACCAGCCTTTTCTTTACAAAAGTCACAATTTATTTTTAGGCAACACATCCTTTTTCACCTAGGCAGTGAGGTCCTCTTCTTTGCTTCTTGACATGATCACAGGCGCTACCGGAGCATGGATTGAAGACGGCAATTCTTTCAGATGCATGGAAAATCCACCTCCCTAGGGTCCATACACAATGCAGCCCTGTTTGCATGCTGGGGAGACAGAGTTGCAGTGAATTTACCGCAGGCCCTGTAGCGTTGCCACCCTCCTGGATAAAAAAACTGGAGGCCTGGAAGGATTACCAGGTATTTTTTGGTAGAAGAAACAACTTTTTGGGTTATATATATTGACTTCCTAGAAATACATAGGACATTTTTCAGTTTTGGATATTGGCGTTTTTTAAGGAAGCTGATTTACTGTAAATAATTCCAGAAGTCTTGGCCTAAAAGATCCCAAATCTGCACTAAAACCAACCTTTAGTCCTCGCTCAAATCTCCTGGCTTTAGAGGTGTCGTTGGTCTGCTTTGCATTGGCAATTGCTGTCTGGTAGTTGGTGATTCGCTCTTGTAGAGTTTGGAGCAATACCCCCGTACTTGTCTAAAGAAAGAAAGAAAGAAAAAAAAAAAGCAGAAGTTAAGGACACACCTAAGTGTGATGGGTTCTGCTCAGGTTTGCCCTGGTAAGTGGTAAAGGCCAGCTGGGAGACAGTTCCCTGAAGTTGGAAATCACATGACATTTTAGTACAAAGTAACATGGAAATCATGGGTTCTGTATTTTTGATCAAGCTTTCACATTTTATTGGCTGCTGTTCCATATTGTGATTATTGCATTTCATATACAGATTTGTAAAATGCTCCCTTCATGGTTATCTGTACTTAAAGTGAATCTATGTCCAGACTATAAACATTAAAGCATAGCCGACATGTTCTCGGTGGGTTCTTCCGCGTTCCAGATTTTTTGCCACCTGCATGCATAGGGGAGTTCACAGATCCCGACACATGCTGGGACTGTACAATGAGCTTCACATGCACAGATCAGTGTACACTGTAAAGCGTTTGTGAGGAGGAAGGTAAAATCTTGTATTGCACAAGAGACAGTCTAAAAAAAACTGGAAAAAAAACCCAACAACATTCCTTTAAAGTTTTTTCATTTGTCTAACACGTAGTAAATAAGCTTCAAAGCAAGCCTTCACTGACCTCTGTAGCTGCAGGTATGGTGGAGCAATTCTTACTCCAAGATCACAAGAGAAGCACTGAAGTTTAGCTGCAGCTGCAGATTTTTTAACTGCTGTTTACATTACACTGCCAAGTTCCTTCCGTCAGAGCTGGGATCTTGGAGCATCTCCTGTGAACTTCACGGATACATGTCTCCACAGTACCTGCATCTATAAAAGGTCAGCGAGGACTTGTTTTAAAGCTCTCTTACAGCTTAAGAATATGCAATTATTTGCTGAGTCTTTGGCGTAAATTCCAACAAAATGTGTGGTACATTGGGAATGATTTAAACATGTTGAATGTGTCACAAGATACTGTGTCCGGAAGGCACAAAACATATAATTGTGACTTGACCAGAGTTTGCTTACACTCAGGTCAGGGATGACCCAGAGGCACAGGGAAAGAAACCATGAAACAGAAGTTACTGTGCAGTGGCATTAGGCAGCAGGAAGCACACACATTTTTGTGTGCATATATATTTTATATATATTAGGGATGCACCGATATATCGGCCCAAAATGGCACTTTTGGCTAAATGCCATGCCATTTTCCTGCCGATACATCGGCGCATCCGTGATTTCTTTCCTCCCTGCTGGGCGCTGCTCTGTGTCCCAGCGGGGAGGAGAGAAAGTGACAGCCGGCCGAATGATGCGGGACAAGAACTCTGTGAGCAGCCAGTGTCCCATCCCACACTGCTCGGCCGCCTATCATAGTGCGGCAGAGCGGTGTGGGGGCGGAGGCAGGGCTGTCACAGGAGGCTGGGCTCTCCTCTCGCACCGCTCACTCAGCCTCCTGTGACAGCGTGTCAGAGAGGAGAGCAGGCAAGAAACACTCAGAGATCAGTGATTGCTGAGTGTTTGTAGATAATTGAGGACATGGTATGGTTTATATATCCTCAATTATGAATGATTGGGAGTGATCTATATCACCTCCTGATCATTTATAGTTGTGGTTATAGTAAACATACTATATTCTCAAGTTATCAATGAAGAGGAACACCCATAGAGGGTTCCTGTTCATTGATAACAGGGGATACAGAAAAAGAAATTGAGGACTCTGTGTTCTCAATCTCTTTTTCTATTTTAAAAAGGAAATATCAGGGGTCTGTTTAGACCCCTAATATTTCCCCCGAACCCCCTAAAAGTAAAGTAAAAAATAAAAATATTTAATAAAAAATGAAT